CTATGTAAGACCGTACTATACTCATTTGTCCTCTGTTTCTCTGAGGGTGGATAACTTCTTCCTTTGTAAGTCCAAGATTCTCCATATTGTTCCAACTCTGCCAACTCATCATTTCCTACACCACAGTAATATTCTAACATACTGTCCAGCTATTTTAAATTGTTTAAAACAATATTGATTGATATGACTGACATATAGTGTAGTTGTTCTATTTTTCTCTTCTGATTAAATCTATTTTAGCTTTAAGTTTGTCTGAGATCACGATTATTGTTTCTGCTTTTTTCCTAATAAATTCTATTGATCTTTATTTTATATTTGTATGCATCTCTTATTTCCTATCCTTCCTGACTCTACTTTACATCTACCCACTACCTTGCCCCCCTATTACTCAACCTAACCCCCTCCAAGGATTCCTCCCATATCCTCTCCCCCCCTACTTTCCCCTTACCCTCATTTCCATCTGAATTTAGAAGACTTTCATAGCCCTCCAAATATATTTGTTATTCTCTTTTTATCCCATTCCCACTTATTTAGACACCCTTCTATGCCCCCCTATCCTATTCCCTCACCCTCTTATTTCTTTATAAATTTAGAAGACTTTTATTCCCTTCTGAATTATATATTGTTCTCTCTTTAACCTAGACCTGATGTGAGTAGGGTTCCCTTTAAAAATCCCTCCCTTATCCCCTCCCCCTCTCTATCCCCTTAGCTTTTTATCTTTTTATGAATTTAGAAGACTTTCATACCTTCTAAATAGATAGATAGATAGATAGATAGATAGATAGATAGATAGATAGATAGTTCCCTCTTTAACTCATTCCTGATGAGAGTAGGGTTCCAGAACTCCCAGCTCTCCTCCCCCATCTAATTCCTCTGTGTCAGTTCTTCCTCTTGCCCCTCATTTCTATGAGATGATTACTCTTTTTACATTTTCCTAAATGGTTTTATTTTTTTAGAATCATATCATACTCAGGTCTACCCCAATCTTTCTGTCGAACCACCCAATTACTAGTAACAATCTCAGACATACATTTTACATTTCCTCATCTAAAAAGTAAGTGGTCTGTCCTTAGTGGGTCTCTTGTAATTAGTCTTTGATGTGTACCTTATTATTTTTCTTTTGGTGTTGTATGCCAAATTTCCAATTAAGTTCAGGGGTTTTTTGCAACAAAATCCTGAAAATCTGGCAATTCAATGAACGTCCATTTTTTCCATTCAGAATTATGCTTAACATTACTGGGCATGATATTTTCAGCAGCATCCCCAGTTCTTTTGCTCTTCAATATATAATGTTTCAAGATCTGCAGTCTTTCAGTGTTGCCACTGCTAGGTCTTGTGTGATTCTACTTGTGGCTCTGCCACATTTGAATTGTTTTTTTCTTGCTGCTCATAATATTTTCTCTTTGAGCTAAAGGCTTCAAAATTTAACTATGATATTCCTGTAGGTTTTCCTTTCATGTGGTGATCGGTGGGCTTTTTCTAGTTCTACTTTCCCCTCTTGCTCTAAAGCTTGAGGACATACACATTGAATTGGGTATGGAAAATTGTCTTACCCTACAGGAAAATAGGGGGAGAAGGGGACAAGAGAGCAGGGGGATGATAGAGAGGAGGGCAGATTGGGAAAGGGGGTAATCAGAAGTAAATACTTCTGAGGAGGGACAGGGTCAAAAGAAAGAATAGAACAAATGGGAGGACAGGATACAATTAAGGGAAATAGAGTTTTTCACAACATGTCTACTATGGAAGTGTTTTGCATAACTGCACATGTACAACCTATATGGAAGTGTTTACTCTTCACAGGGGCCAAACCTCGGTCCTGGGATTTTTCTTCAGATCTTCTCTGATTGTCCCAGGAGGACCACTGTTCTACCCCAACTCTAGTTTATTTTTACTGAATACATTTGCCTTGAAGCACTATTTTGTCTTGTTTCTGGGGGAACTCTAGAGAGCTTGGAATTTTCTAACCTAGTCCACCATCTTCCTGGAATCTTCTTGATTTACATTTCTCTGAAGTATAACGTTTAGGCTGTTCTTGATGGTTTCCAGGGAGTCTGATGATTCCTAAATTATTTCTCCTAGATTTTTCTTACAGATGAGGTTTTTTTAAATACCAGATATCTTCCATTTTCTTTTTTTTTAATCTTTTGATTTTGTTCTAACATTTTCTTGTCTCATGAAATCACTGATTTCTGTTGAGCCTATTCTAGTTTTCAGAGATTTGCTACTTGAGTTACATTTAATACTATCTTTCCTAAAATATTTATTCTTCTTCCAATTTTTTTCTTCTAGAGTTTTTATTTCTTTTTTTTTAATCTCTTGCTTCATTTCTTCTAGGTATTCATGTAGTCCTCCTCCTCCTCCTTCATCTCTCTAGCCTTAGTTCCTGAACTGGGGCTTTGTTCCATGACCAAAATCTGTTCCCTACTGTGCTTTGGGGTGTGGTAGTCAGCTCTGGTTAGTTCCCTGTCTTGGGTGAAAGAATTCAGCCATCACCTCACTCCTCAGCCCTGATGCCAGAAGCTCCTTACTCTCACTGTCTCCAGCAGTGGGTCCCAGGCTTTTGTCCCTGGCTCACCTGTGTTGCTGTGCTGATCTCACCTTTTGGAGTTCAGTACTTCTGGATCTTGGGGCTTCAGAGCACTGGATCTTCAGAACTTTCTGTGGTGTGTCAGGACAGTGATAGACACTTTGGATATTCCAAGTTGAACACTGCCATGACGAAAGGTACATCACACTATTCACTGCTGATATTGGTGGCATCCAAGACACAAGCTATAGATTTCAACAACTCTTAGACTGCTTCAGGAGAGCACTCAGCAATTTATGCCTCCAGATAAAGGGTCCTGCAGGCTACACAATCTTTGGCCAGTTCCTTCAGGTGCTGATGTTTCTGGGGGCTCCCCTTTCTTCTTGCCCATGGACTGACTTTTTGTGCAGTTCTGGGATAGATATGTCACTTATTGCAGTTCCTCATTGGCTGTCCTAGCCACTTTTCTAGCTGGTGTAATTTTTAGGATTTTCATTTGAGTAGGGGTGTGGGAGCTGGGCGGCCATCTGGGCCAAAGAAAATGGGAAATATTAGAACAAAGAATCGACCGAAGAAGCTGCAGATGCTCAAGGGGGGGGAGATAGGTATGTTTAAGTAATTTTGGCTTATTCTGCTTGGTCCCAGAAGGCAGAGTTTAGAGCAAAGAGGGGCAGCGGCAAAGAGGTGGAGTCAGGCATGGCTTCAGGAGAACTTCTTAGCGAACGCTGTGGCTCCATGCAGGGTGTGTGAGTCAGAAGCACCATTTAGTTGGATTGTTATGTGTGAAGCGGAGCTGTGCCTAATAAATCTGGAAAAGTCAGCTGCAGCCGGGCTGTGAAGAGCCTTGAATGTCAGAGCAGCTTCTGTTTTATCTCAAGGAGGAACTAACAAAGGACATTGTTGGCTGATTGGGTGTGAGGGGTGAGGGAGACATGAGGTGATGACCCCGAGATTGTGAGCCGAGTGGGTGCAGGGATGGTGACGTCTTCAACAGAAATGGGGGCATCAGGAAGAGGAGACACACCTTGGACATACTGGCTCTGAGGACCAGCCACAGCTAAGACCTGACTCTGACAGGAAGAGAGTGGGAGGACTGAGCTTCTTCATCTTAGGACGGGAGAATTGACACCCAAAGAACCTGCCCCAAGGGGCCAGCTCCCCCCCCCCCGTCTCCCCCTTGCAGTCTCCCCTCTAGGGTTTCCCCCCAGGGTCTTCCCCCCTGAGGTCCCCCCTCCTGCAGGGTCTCCCCACTCTCAGCCGTCTTGCCAGTTCTGCCTCTGAACTCTCTCTTGCATCCATTCTCTCTACCTCACTCCAAAGGCCATTGCCCTGGGCCAGAGCTACATCACCATCCACCTGGACCACTGCAGTCCTCTGCACTCTCCTGTCCAGTCCGCATGTGCCGCCTAAGCCATGTTCCCTTTCCTACATAGACCCCGTCCAGTGCTGAACACCCTGCAGCGGCTTCCTCTGTCCTCTGGGCTAAGTTCCAAGCCCTTAGCCCATCATTCAAAGCCTTACAAAATCTGACCCTAGCTTCCCTACATCTCCAGCTTTCTGTCATGCTCTCCAGCAGCTGGATGGCAAGCAATGCCTTTCCCTTTAAAGCCCAATGTAAATGCTTTCTCCTCTTGGAAGCCTTCCTGGATCCCCCAGCTTGATAACAACCAAGAGCTCCATGGGAGGAACATCGAATTTCCTTTTAAGCTTTGTATCTCCCCTGTAAAGGAGGCAGCAGGCGGTGCTGGACCTGGTGTCATTACCAGCTGCATGACTCTGGACCAGTCGCTGAACTTTTGTCCGCTTCAGTTTCCTCAGTTGTAAAATGAGGGTAATAATAGCACATACTTCACAGGCTTGTTGTAAAAGATAATGACTGCAAAGCAAAGGAGATGACAATTAAGTGCCTGACACATAGCAGGCACTTAGTAAATGCTCGTTCCCTTTCCTGACATGGCCAGCACAGGGCTCTCCATACAGCAGGTGATTAATAAGTGTTTTTTAACTGAATTGAATGTCTTAGCCTAGTAGAGAAAACAGAGATGAAGCAAAGAAAAAGGAAGAGAGGCAAGCTTCCTGAGAGTGATGTCAGTCAAGGCTGGGGCCATTGAGCCTGTGCTACAGTTCTTAGAATCTGTCCTGTCCCCAATGGACTGAGGTCCAGGAGGGCTGAGGACCGGGGGGCCAGGAAGGCCAGGGGATGCCAGGAGGGCTGAGGGCCAGGAGGGCTGAGAGGACTGAGGGCCAGGGGGGCCAGGGGGTGCCAAGAGGGATAGGGGGCAGGGCAGGAGGGCTGGAGGAGCATGGGGGGGTGCTGTGAGGGTAGAGGCCCAGCTCCCCCCTGAGCTAAGGCTCAGCCTCCTTCCCAGCCCCAGCTGGGAATTGAAGGCCACAGTATCCTTAGAGGGGGCACTAAGTGTCTTCCCTGGCTTTATTTTTTTTTTCCTGTATTCCCTTCTTTTCTTTTCTTCAGGGAAAATCAAGAAAAAATGATCTATTTTCTCCTTCTTGACCGGAAAGAAAGGTATCCCAGTCATGAGGATGAAGACCTCCCCCCTCGGAATGAAATAGGTACGGGCCCTGCCCCCACCACTTAGTGTGCGCACCTCCATCCTTGGCCCTATACAGACCCATTTCTCAGGCAGGTCCCCTTTCCCCATCACCTCTGAAGATCTCACTACAGGCAGGTACTGGGCAGCACCCCAGCCTGAGCTCCACAGAGAGGCCCCTGCCAGCATCCATTCCAGCAATAAAGGGCAGTATTACAAGCTCCCACTGTTTTCAGTGGGTGCCCATCATCCCCAGGCTGTGGCCGCCAGGTAGCCACAAAGATTTGGGCAGTGGAATTACGTGTCAATGGTAAAGCCAAAATCTTCCTGGCCAGGCCAGGCCAGGCTGAGCCTTCTCCCTCCTACACATTGAGGGGTGTGGGGATTCTGAGCCCAGGGGAAAGGAAGGCTGACTCACCCTCACCCATCCCCAGACCCCCCCAGGAAGCGGGTGGACTCCCCAATGTTGAATAGACATGGCAAGCGGAGGCCTGAGAGGAAGTCCATGGAGGTCCTCAGTGTGACGGATGGCGGCTCCCCGGTCCCTGCCCGCCGAGCCATTGAGATGGCCCAGCATGGCCAAAGGTAAGTGCCAGCTGCAGTTCCCCCAGCCCCGGCTGTCCCCACCTTCTTTCCCTCCTCTTCCTCCTTCCGGCTGCCCTCTTTAGCAGGCTCAGGGCCATCCCCTTGCCCTGGCAGGCTGCTGGCCTGCATGGGGTTTGGCTGGCTCCTACGAGGAGCCTGGCCTTGGCCGGGCAGCACTGGGGGAGTCTGGTGGTGTTTTGCTGGCTGAGCTTTTGCTTACTCAGCTTGGGGTGTGGCACCCCTGGGTAGGGGGTGAGGGAGGGACTTAAGGTGTAGTTAGTGGTGTGATTATTTCTAAGAAGTCTGGTGAGACACTGACATAGGGCAGGAAGCCAACTGGCTGAGATTGTCCCAGAAAATGGCACAGAGGGAAGTGCCAGGGATCTGTTCAACCTGACTGCCTTTGAGAGCTAAGGAAGACCTGAGTGAGCTTTGTCAGAGGAGCAGGGCCTGGGAGGGGGGCCTGCCATGTCTGATCCCCTACAAGCAAAGTTTGGGGGCTACTGACCCTGACTCCCACCAGTAGGGCCTGGCGGGGCTGTGGTGTCTGACCTCCATGAGACGGGCCTGGGGGCTGTTTTTCCTGCCTTAAATGAGCAGGGCCTAGGAGCCATGTATCTGATCTTCAACAGGCAAGACCCTGGGACCTGGTATCCTTGACTCCCATAAGCAGGATCTCAGAGGCTTCTGAGTAGGGCCTGGGGAGTTTCTGTTTGACCCTCCCATGAGTAGGGCATGGGAAGCTGCTGGGGCTGTCAGCTAGGTGCCAAAAGGCCGCTCCCTCTGAGGCGTTCTTCCTCAGCCCAGGGGCTTGGCCAGCTTGGGGAAGGCCTAGTGCTCTGAGCCTCTGACTGAGAAAAGCCTGTGACTGAGAAAAGTGGGCTCCTGGCTCCTGCTGGATATGACCAGCCAGTCAGTCACAAGGCCAAGCTGTCTTGGGCCTTCCTGGAGGTGGTGACCGAACTCAGCCCACACCTCGCTTCCAGCCCAGGGTGGTAAGGGAGGGAAGAGAGGAAGCTAGGGATAAGCTTGAGTCCTGACTAGGGCCTTGGATGGCTCTGGGGCCTCTGTCTTGAGCTGCCAGTGGACAGTGAGGGGAGGCCAGGAAAACGGAGGTAGAGCTAATCCCATAGAGCCCCCTAGCCTGGGCTGGACAAGGCTGGGCATTATGGACTCAGGCAGGTTAGGGTGAAGGAAGCCACATCTTTGGAGGGAGCAGACGTGGCTGCCCAGAAGGGCTGGCCTGGAAGGCCCAAGAAGTCACACTGATCTCTCCAGGGATGGAGGGTTCTCTCTCAGGGCCAACTGTATCCCCTCCCCTAGGCCTGCCCCCCATATGCACACACTTCCTTCTAGCAGAGAGAAAGCCACCAAGGTGAGGACTCAGGGGAGGAGGGGGCTTGTGACAGGGAAGGCCCAGAGACTCTGGGGTCCAAGGAGAGAAGAAGGGCCCAGCCAGGCTTCCTACAGATCCCCCTTGGGGTTCCCAGCTAAGCTAAGAAAAGGGACCAGCAGCTGCTGGGACAAAAAGTCAGGCTACCTGGAAATAAGGCCCAATGAAGACCTCCCCCCTTGGAATGAAATAGGTACGGGCCCTGCCCCCACCACCTAGTGTGCGCACCTCCATCCTTGGCCCTATACAGACCCATTTCTCAGGCAGGTCCCCTTTCCCCATCACCTCTGAAGATCTCACTACAGGCAGGTACTGGGCAGCACCCCAGCCTGAGCTCCACAGAGAGGCCCCTGCCAGCATCCATTCCAGCAGTAAAGGGCAGTATTACAAGCTGGGCCCAAGAGGCACCATGGCAGAGTACTGAGTGGGCTCAGCTGGGCTACACATTTGGGGCTCACTGTAGACACCCTTGGGATGCATCGTAGGCAGGCAGGGGCTCCTTTGGGCCCCAACTCCACACTAGGGACCTATGGTGAGGAAGGGGGCTCTGGAGGCCTGAGGAGGGGGCGCTTTGTGCTTACCCACCCACTGCTTCTTCAGGGCAGCCCCAAAGCTGTCAGGGACAGCCAGTTCACCTACTAGGCAGCCAGATTTGTAGATTGTAGAAACAAGAGGCCTGGGGTGCTGGGGTGCTGAAGCCTGGGCTCTCTCTGTGTCCCTTCATTCCCTCCCCAAGAAGAGCTCTGAAACGTGCCGCCTGATGGGGTCATGAATATAGCCAGAATGAGACTGAAGAGAGGCTGTGACAGAAGACCCCTCGCTCCTAAGGAGGCCCTGTCTGGGTTCTCTGGTGCACTGAGAGGTCTGAGAGTCAGAGGTGCCCACACTCTGAGGCCCAAGCGGCGGCCTCTCCCAGACTCAGGGACCTTGGGTGCTTGGATCACAAATGGGAGTGAGAATGGCCTCCTGTGCCAGCTCCCTTCTGCCCCTCAGCCAGAACCTGCTAAGCAAGAGAACCAGTCAATTGGTGCCCCTGTGGAGGCTGCTAGAATGGCCTAGCCTCTGAGTGGGACCCAGTCCAGGGCTGGCAGTCACAACAGGGGGCACCAGTTAGTTGGAGGGTGCCCTGCCTGTACCTCTCACCAGTCCTCAGCCTCCATGTAGGTCCGGGGAGGGGCCCCTTGGAGCCCTGGCACTCTAGCTCGAGGGGACCTGAGCCCCTACCTTGACTGGCCATGTTCCCACTGAGGCCAGGGCTGGATTGGGCCAGGGGCGCGTCCATGGGCCCCAGGCCATCTTAGTAACTCTGTTTTCTCACTTTGTTCCTGCCATAGTAAAGCCCTGTTCAGTAAAAGCCTGGATATCTCTGAAGCCCATCCCAAATTCAGCAAAGAAGACAGGTATACACCCTGCCCAGCCTGTTCCCCTCTCCTCACTGCTGAAACCTTAAAGATGCAGGGCAGAGCAGCTGTCAGGGGCCTGGGGGTCAGCAGCCCTGGGCAAGGTGGCTCTGGACAAGCACCGAGCAGGGCCACCCTGAGGTCTGGGTATGACTTCCCTGATGAGAAAGCTCAGCTTAGCCTCAGGGTGGCTTCTGCTCGGGTGGGCAGGCTGGCAGCCAGGGGCACGAAGGGCAGGGCTGCCATCAGGAAGTCAGCATGCACATGGCATTGCCCTGGGTGCGTAGTCAGGGGACCCAGCTCTGGATCCATTTCTACTACTTCCTCACACTGCAGCCACGTGGCCGTGGTCACGTAGCACTCTGGACTTCAGCTGGGGCATTGGTGAGATGAGGGGGTCAGAAGAGTGGCCTCACAGGTTCCTTGCAGCTCTGGCTGTGAACCTGTGAGTCTGAGTCTGAACTCAAAGGGCCCATGGGAGTGCCCACTCAACAAATCTATGCCCGCAGATGACTGAGAGCTGGGCCTGGCAGCCTTCAGGAAGAGGGCAGGTGACCTCTAGTCAGGGATGGAGGGAAGAGAAGGGAGTCTGGGCCAGGCCTGGCCTAGGTCTAGAGGCCTCCAAGGCCCTTCTAACCCAAGATGCTAGGGTTCTGATCCGGGTCTCCATGTACACACACTCAGCATAGCCACACATGCATGGGCACATGTGTCCTCATACATGCTTCCACATATGTGCACATGCATCCTCATACAGAAGCATGAGCCTTACCTTGCTGGGGGCTGTGCCTCAGAGAGCCCTGCAGGTGTTCCCTAGAATGCGCCTCAGCATTACCGCAGGTGGCACCTAAAACATGCCTCAGTGTTACCACAGGTGGTGCCTAGAACACTCTAGTATTATCACAGGTGGCACCTAGAACACACCTCAGTGTTACTGCAGGTGGCACCTAGGACACTCCTCAGTGTTACCGCAGGTGGTACCAAGGACACTCCTCAGTGTTACTGCCTGGGCCCTGGGCCCCAAGCCCTCCCCTTCCTGCCTTCCTGGGCAGAAGAACAGAGTTACATATAGAAGTCTCTGAGGAAGAGCTGGAAGGCTGAGAGGAAGAACTCCACTGAATCCCCAAAAGTCAACACTGGGGGCTCTTACAGGATGGCTAATTCCCCAGGACACAGCGAAGCCCCTTCTCTAAACCCTGCTGTGACAGGCCCTGAGCTCTGGAGGGAGGAGGGCTCGTGGGGATCCCAGACATTCCTGGCAGCTCCTTTCTGTCCTCCAGTCTTGAGCGAACAGAGCCCAGGCCAGACGAGAGCAGGGGGATGGATCCGTGCCAGCCTGCCTGCCCTGCTGGGGCTGCTGAGTCCCAGCAGTCCTACCTGGGACCTGTGCTTTGTGGGTTAAAGGCCAACTGCATCTTTAAGGGTCGAGCCCCCCTCCCCGCAGGTGCCCTTGGTTGTCTTGGTAGCTGAGGCTGTCTCTCTGTCACCTTTCCCAATGGGCAGTGGCTTTCTCTCTCCCTTCACTCCCTCTTCTCTCCCTTCTTCACCCTTTCCTCATATCCCCTTCCCCAGGTACTGTCGTTCTCTCATCCTGGGGCAGGGTACACAGCTCTGCAGTACCCTGTCTCAGGACCCAGGGTGTGACTTGGCAATGTGCTGCACGGCTGGGCCCACCCTGGCCCAGGGCTGGGGGCTCTGGGCTGGGGCCCGGGACTGAATCTTTCCTTCTTCCCTCCCTCCCTCCCTCCCTCCTCCCCGTACCCACCCTTGCCCACCACCCATTTCCTTCTGATTTGGAATCTGAAGATCCATCCACTTCAGTTTCATTTATATATCAGGGCTGAGAAGGGAGATGCTTCTGCTCAGCTGAGACCTAGTCATCCAGTGTCCCCTTGAGACTCTACAGCTGCCAGTGTAGATGGCCAGGAAGAGCCTGGATGCTCTTCCACAGGAGCTCAGGATGGGCTAGCTCGTCAGAGTCTGTGCCCCAGCCCACAGTTGCTCTGCAGAGCCTGTGGCCCCAGTAAGGGCCCTCGACGTCCTGCTCCAAATTGCCAGCATCTCCCTTCCTGCCTTCCCATTGCCATGGCCCTGAAGTCAGTGAGGAAGCCAAGACTGGAAGCCAATTAGCTATGACCCTGGTTCCAGGCAATGGGTGTGGGAGCATCACTGGCTAAGGGCCAGGGCAGCGGGGAGGGAACAGGCCTTGGGGTTACAGGGAAGATCCTCAGGGAAACAAAGCACCTATGTGTGTCTCTAGAACCCCCCCTCCACCCCCACCAAGTCACGGACTGTTGTCCATGCCCAGCTCAGCTCTCCCTGCTGCTGGGCGGGCTGAATGTGCCTGAAACTTTTGTCCCTGAAGGGACATGCCCAGTGGCTCACCCACCCACCTCCAGGACAAGCTGAGCTGAGCTGGTGAGAGAAGGCAGCCTCCTCCTCAGTAATCCACCAATCAATAACCATTTATTAGGTCCCTACTGAGTGCCAAGCACAGTGCTAGGCACTCAGGTCCCCCGAAGGTGAGAGAACACTGGCTCCTCCAATTCCACCCCTGATGTTTACTAACTGTGTGACTCTGGGCAAACCCCTCCTTGGTCTCAGTTTCCTTATCTGTAAAATGAGGCCTCTTCCTAATTAGAGCACCTGGGAGAGAGGCCGGAGGAGCTGGGCTTGGGGGAGAAGGCTCCCATCTCTCCTGGAAGCCTGGATGGGTCCAAGGGGTTTGTGCTGGGATGCGCTGTCCCCAGGGCAAGGAGACCCTAGGAGTCTCTGTCCACTCTTTCACTGTGCTTTTCATCCTCTTCCTTCCCTGTGGCTGCTCGGGGCCCCTCTCTCTCCCCCTTCCTTTCTTGTTTTCTTCCTCCAAGGATGGCCAGTGCATTGGGGTAAGCAATTTGGATTCTTCCTCTGATGGGGCCCCAGGGCCGTCAGTAGGTGCCCTCAGGGCCATTGGGATTCAGATCTGTGGGAGAGCTTTCTTTGGGGGGAACTTCTGGTGGGGATGGGGGTGGGATGGGGAATAGACTTGGGGTCTTCCAAACTGAAGAAAGTTGCAGGATGCGGGGGCTATGCAGGAACAGAAGGGGAGCTGTCCTTCAGCCCCTGGGTGCTGATTCCCAGCCTGAGGACTGGGGCTGTGCCCATAGCAGATAAGAGACGCTGCTCTGTATACAGCTCCCCTTTTTGGAGAAGCATGAATTCTGGGTCTCCTGCCCCCACTCCTAGACTTGGCTTCCCTAGTGTCCATGGGGGTAGAAGGTAGGTAAAGGGAAGTCTCCCTCCATGGTGGGCGTTGAACCACCCCCACGACCTCTCCTGGCCCTTGTGCCAAGCCTGAAAGCAGACATGCTTCATGCTTCTTTCCCCCTTATCTGGTGCCACCTCACCCTTCTCCCACCCGCATACCCCCAAGCCACATGCCCTTTGACCAGCAGATGAGGCCTAGATGCTAGAGGGCTGGTTTAGGACTAAGGGTCTTGCTAAATCAGAGTATGTTGTGGATGGGAGAGAGAAGAGGAGAAGACATGGCAGGGCTGGGCAGCAAGGGAAAACCTGGCCCAGGTGATGTCCCATTTGGGCTCCAGTAGGGCCACAGGGTTTCCCTGAGGTTGGGGAGGGGCAAGTATGAGCCTGCCTCAGCCAGAATGGTAAGAGATTGTCCTCACTGTCCCTGTGTCCTGGGTCAAGCAGGACTATGCCAGAGGGGAGGTATAACAGGGACATGTCCCCTCTCTGGCTGTGCTGTCCACAGGAGTCAAGAAGGTACTCTAATGGAGGAGAGTCCTGACATCAACAGGAACTCCCAAGAGTGACACTGAGGAGTCCAGCTCCTTGTAGGCAAAGAATAGTGCTGAGGAAAAGGGAAAGAGCCCTAGGCACCCAACCAAGGCCAGGCAGCAGCAGGAGGCCATGCCAGGCAGGCCAGGGTTGAGGAGGAGGTCAGGGAGAGCTCTGAGGACTTACCCCAGAGAGGCAAGTGCTCTTCTGGCTGGGGGAATGGGAAGGCCTCCTAGAGAGTTCAAAGCTCCTGTGGTGGCTGCTGAGGTCTGCATGACCCCCAAGCCCATGGCTCCCCAGCCAAGTTCTCGGGAAGGGCCAGAAAATGGCTACCCTGCCTTTCTACCCTTTGGGGTAGGCAACATCATTACAGAATCTCCCAGCCAGAAGAGACTTCCAAGGCAAGCATGCATGTGCACACACACTTGCATGCACACATGCACGCACATGCATGCATACACACACACACATGCACATACCCACAACATTCTGACAAAGCCTCTCATCACCTCCTGAAGCAGCCTCTTCTGCTGTCACTGTTAGGAAGTTTTTCCTGACACCATCCAGCCTCTCTGATTCTTTGCATTGATTCCATTCCCTCATCCCCACCTTTGCTCCTAGTCCTGACATCTGGGGCCAAGCAGAAAAGGCCAGTCCCTTTCTACAACATCTCTCATGGTCCCCCTGACCTGAGAAAACCCCACTCTCGAGCTCAGCAAAGGCATTCCCAAAAGGCAACACCCAGAAGATACCCAGCCTTCCAAAAGGAGAGGACTGACAAGGACAGAGGGTGGGGAAACTATCACCTCCCTCCTCTGCAAAATGACACCTCTCAATGTAGGCCAAGAGCCCAGCAGCTTTTGGACTCCCCCTGGGACACTCTGGGACTCATTAGAGCTACTAAAACCCCCAGATCTTTTTCCAAGCCACACCTCCTCCAGCATGGCTGGCTGTACTTGCAGCCCTGGTACTTCCCACCATGTTATGTTCAGTCCTGAGGCACCAACCCATCTGTATCTTGGTTCCTGACTGTCATCCAGTCTGTTAGAGCGCCTTCCTTCAAGCTATGCATCCTCTGTCAAATTGCTCAGACATCTCTGAGACAGCTATGCCTTTATCCAAGATACGTCTGTCAATGCCATCATCATCACTGTCATCATAGCTAGGATTTCTATAGTGCTACAAAGTTTGAAAAGCACCCCGCATGATATAACAGGGCACCCAAGCAGCCCCCCACTTCATCCTTCTTGACCTCTCTGAAGCCTCCCACATTGCTGGCACCTTCTCCTGGATGCCTTCTTTTCTTTGGGTTTTTGGGAGACTGCTTTCTCCTGGCTTTCCTCCTACCTTTCAGACTGCCCCTTCTCCATTTCCTTTGCTGGATCTTCAGGTCATGCTCACTAACTGTGGGTGCCCCCAGGGTTTTGTCCTGGGCCTGCTTCTCTTTTCCTTCTATGCTATCTGAACTACTGATCTCATCACCTCCCATGCACTTGATTATCACTTCTATGAAGCTGAGTTTCAGGTCTATCTATCCAGCCTGAGTCTTTCTCCTGACCTCCAGTCTTGCATTTTCAACTGTCGATTAGACAGCTCCTGCTGGACATCCCATAGACATCTTAAACTCAGCATGTCCAAAAAACGTGTCCTCTTTTCTCCCAGACCTTTCCTTCTCACTACTGTGAAGGGCACCCTCATCCTCCCAGGCTCCCAGGCCCCCAGGCCCCCAGGCTCCCAGGCTCCCAGGCCCACATCCTCCTAGGTTCCCAGGTCCCCAGGCCCTCAACCTCAGGGTTGTCCTCAACTCTTCACTCTCATACCACATGCCCAATCTGCTGCCAATTCCTGTCCTTTTTATCAAGATGAGATCTCTCTCAGGTATCCCTCTAGCCATTACCATAGGCTTCTAATTGGGCTCCCTTCCCCAAATCTCTTCCAAAGTGATTTTCCTAAAGTGAAAGTCTTCTCCCACCTCCCACCACCATTCAGTGACCTCCAGTGGCTTTCTCTCACCTCCAGAATCCCGTTTGGCATTCAAAGCCCTTCCCACCCCATTCTTTCCTTTCCAATCTTGTGACCCTTTTCCCTCCTCGCTCCCACTGGAAGATCCACTGAGGCCCATGACTTCCTCATACTCAACAGCTGACCTCCTAACTCATTCCTTTATGCTAGAGGGCTCTCCTTCTGCTTCCCAACAGTAAAACAAATAACCGCCCTCTTGCAGTCTTCAGGTTCCCCTGTCATCCCTCTTACATGATTCTTACAGGACTGTGTCTTATGGGCTGGGTCTTCATCCTCCCTGACTTGCTGTATGTGCCTTTTTAAAATCCAGGGAGGTGAGTTCCTGGGCAGCCATGTCGGGCTCTGTACAGCTCTGCCTCTTCCTCTTCATCAGAATCATTCTCCTTCCATGCCTTCAGGATTTCATTCTGGGGAGCACCCTACCTCTTCTGGGCTGAGTTCTCCTGTAAAATTGTGGGCCACAGGGTCCTTTCTCTGAACCATCTTTCTTGGTCTGTTCAATTCAATTCAATTCCACAAGCAAGCATAGCTCAGAAGGAGGTAAGAATCTGCTCCCTCATGCCCTGCCTCCACATCCCTGGCAGAATCCAGCCTTGGGGGCCCAATGACCCTGCGAGTAAGGACATGCCACAGACATGGAAAGTTGAGAGGGAGCCTGCACTGGGTGCCGGGATGGACAGAGGGCAGGCAGCAGGCACAGCCCCCCCAGGTCATGCTTGGTTTGGGCCTACTCCTGCCCGGACTCTCGGCTCACTGTCTCCCAGGACCAGAGCGCCTGGGAGCACCCTGGGCACTGGTGTTGAGCTTTGGAACAGCAGAAGGCGGTGCTGGAGCCATAGGGACTCCTTGGTTTGGGCACGGCTCAGCTGGTGAAACAGCTCAGGCTCGATGACAAGGAAGGGCATTGGAGGTGGGAAAGGGGAGCCAGGGTCCATGTGGACTCAGGGGCTGCCCTGGGCGTGCCTGCCTGCCCTGAGGACTCCCTCTTGCTTGTGTTTCCCCAGGTCCCGGTCAATCAGCGGTGCATCATCGGGTCTTTCCACCAGCCCTCTTAGCAGTCCAAGGGTAAGCATCACCTCCTGGAACACACCCAGTGGGCATCTGTGGGCACCTTCCTGCCCTGTCCTCTGGACCCCAAAGACCTGCTGCAGCCTGGCCCATGGTCTGTGGGGTGTGGCTTTCATTCCATTTTGTGGCTTGTTTTGACCACTTTCAGTGATCAGAAAGTTCTCTAGGCCTTCTCTAGGTGGGACAGGTCAAGGGTACTGCAGAGTTAGGAAGTCCCGGTACCCAGGTGGGATGGGCTCTGAGAAGCCAATGGGAAGCAGAGAAGCAAAAGGGTGACTAAACATTATAGCCCTCCATCCACATGTACACACTTGTGCACGGTCACATAGCACACAGGTGCACATGCATACACACACACACACACACACACACACACACGTGCTCACACACACACACAGAGATTCCTGGCCCAGCAGAGTGCTGTAGCCAACAGGACCTGCTTGCTAGCTTAGCACACGGGCCTCCCCTTCCTAGATGGTCCCAGAAGCAACGGGGCCCAGGGTAGCATCTGTCCTGGACAGGCTAATGTCCACTTGGGGAAGCAACAGACATCTAGGAAGAACATCCTCCTTTCCCTGCACGTGAGCCCCAAGGGGCTGTGGGCCAAGGTCTAGAGAACCTGCCCATTGGCAGTGGTTGGCCCATGGTAATGCTGAGCTGGGACCTCTGGCCCCAAGTCCTGGTCCGGAGCCCCCCAGGGGGTCGGGTGGGAGTGATGGCTGTGGCCAAGTTCTTGGGCTCCTTGACCTAATAGTCATTAGGTAGGCCCTGGAAGGGTCTCTTCTGTCCCATCAGAAGTCTGCATCCACAGCTGAATCCCCAAAGCTGTGGGTCCCTTGGCAGGAGGCAGGGGCAGGGCAGGGCAGGCCAGGACCTTGCCATGTCCATGGCCTTTGCTAGAGGGAAGGAGTCTTCATTCAGTGAGGTTGCAGCTTGGTGCTGGGTCTGGGGATAATCCTGGCGTCCAGGGTTCAGATCAGAAAGAATGTTCACCATCTTCTGGTCCAGCCTCCTAATGTTCCAGAGAAGGAAGCTGAGGCCTGAGAAGGTCAAGGTAGAGTAAATGGCAGAACCAGAATTCAAGCCCAGGTCCACTGACTGGAGCCAGCATTTTGCCCAGAGTCTAGAGCCCAGAGAAAGGCAGCAAATAGTCCCTCTCCACGCCTTCTCTAAATCTGGCTGGTTTTCCTTGACCTCACCGCAACCCTCACTCCACCCTCACAGACAGGCAGTAGGCTCTCCTTCCCCCAAGCTCCTACCAGAGAGTGAGGCTGTGGGAGGCCCACGCCAGGGCCCAGGGCCAGCAGAAAGAAGCCAGGGCCCAGGAAGATTACCAAGGTCTCCCAGATCCTTCGGGAATCCATCAGCTTCTAGGATCCCCACAGGGATGGCACATGGTTCCCAGTTGGGAACTCCAGCTCCCAGGTCCTCCCAAGCAAGTGGGTGGCATGGGGCAGGACAGCTGGGTTAACTCTGTGGTCCACTCTCTGAGACTTTGGACGGCCTGGCCAAGTTTGTTTGGATTGGGTCAGGGAGCGCTCCTGTCTAGTCCTGCCTGGGAGGGTCAGTGCCCCCGAGAAAGCTTCTCTTCAGCCACTCTCCAGAGTGAAGGGTGGGCGGGGTCAGGGCAGGGCCGGAAGCCAGAGGCGTCCTCTTCCTATTTCCTGGTTGGATGCCTCCCTCTCCGCCCACCATGCTGGACTGCTGGATTTGTTTTGCTTTGCCCTGTGTGTGGCTTGGCTGGGTGGCTGAGGTGGCCGAGGCCTGGGACAACACGTGGCTGCTACTGCTGTTGCTGCTACCGCCTTCTTTGCTAACTGCATGTTCTCTTTGTGTGTGTGTGTGTGTGTTTTTTGTACGTGCCTACGTATGTTTGTTCGTGTTTTTTTTCTTTGCAATCCCCTCACCCATCACCTGTGCTTCCCTCCTCATGGGGCCCTTGAGCCTCTTGGGGATCGCGCCCTGATTTTTCTTTCTTCATCTGCCTGCGTTGGGGTGCATGTGGGTGCGTGTGGGTGCGTCTCACCGTTCTTCCTGTGCACGGACACTCCCCTGCTCGCCCTTGCGCGCTCTCTCGCTTTCTTTTTTTCCTCTCTCGCTCCCTCTTTCTCCCTCTCTCTCGCACGCTCTCCTCTCTCTCTCGGGCTCTTTCTCCATCTCGCTGTCTCTCCTCTCCTCTTTGCCTCCTTCCCTCTCTCAATCTTTCTCTGTCTGTTGTAGCCTATCAGAAAATTTTTCATCCCTCCCCAGCCCCCTGAGCTCCCCTTTCCCCCCCGCCCCCAAGTGTCCTTGGACCCCGAAGCTCGTAGGGACACCTCACGGCCCGGACCCGCCCTCCAACCAAAGGCAGCGATGCGGCCCAACCCAAAGACACAGACCTTACCATCCAAGGGCAGAGTGACGGACAAACCTCTGCAGTCCACCAAGTCTAACCCGCTCCCCGCCGGCACCATCGGCACCGTCCCGGCCCCGCCCCCGCCCGGCCCCGCTGGCCCAGCCCGAGCTCTGGCTACGGCCATGCTCAGCCCCCAGCTGGCCGGGCCGGCCGGCCACCTGCACCCCTCGGCCCCCATCAGGCTGCTCCCTGCTAGTACTGACCCGAGCACCAAATCTATCCCCATCATACAGGTGACCCCTCACCCCTCTCCGAGGGGCAGCCCCCTCCCCACCCCCAAGGGAACGCCCGTCCACACGCCAAAGGAGAGCCCGGCGGGCACGCCCAACCCCACCCCACCGTCCAGCCCCAGCATCGGAGGGATGCCCTGGAGGACACGGCTCAAT